GGATGTGTGCTGGGTTAAAATAGAAATGACAAAGGAGGAGTTAAGAGTGTCAAGAGATATATGGGTTGGAGAATACTGTTTTATAAAGTCCAATTAGATAGTGGCAGAACCAGGACAAAAATCCTGCCTAGTGCCAATTTTCTTCTGCCAAAAAGAAATTTTTTTTTTAAATCATAACTGAGGGATGCCTGGGTGACTCAGTCAGTTAAGCATCTGCCTTCGGCTCAGGTCATGATCCCAGGGTCCTGGGATTGAGTCCCGCCCGCATCAGGCTCCCTGCTTAGCAGGGAGCCTGCTTCTCCCTCTGCCTGCCACTCCCCCTGCTTGTGCATGCGCTCACTCTCTCTCTCTCTCTCTCTCTGACAAATAAAAATAAAAATCTTAACTGAAAGTAGTAAATAAAAAATATTCTCAGGTGCCTGGGTGATTAAGCATCTGACTCTTGATTTCAGCTCAGGTCATGATCTCAGGGTCGTAAGATCAAGCCCCACATCAGGCTCCGCACTCAGCGCAGAGTCTGATTGAGACTCTCTCTCTCTGCCCCTCCCCCACTCATAATAAATAAATAAATAAAATCTTAAAAAAATATTCTCAAAAACTTTAAAATAAAGCTTTATCTGTGTTGCAGAGAAATCTAATAGATTTTTTTTTCTAATTTTCTGGAGTATCAAGGTTGTTCCAAAGATAGGTTTCAAAGAAATAGCACTGCAATTCACTAATGAATGATCTTGTACAAGTTTTTAAACTTTCTAAGGTTTGTGTCACTCATTTTTTAAGTGGGGGCACTAATAAGATGTTTGTTTTGAAGAATATAGGAAATAATGTACATAAAGTACTTAGCACAGTGCCTGGCCTATATGTGATACTCAATAATTTGTGTCACTATTACTACTAAAGTGCAGACAATGGTCCTAAGAGACTGCTACCTGAGAAAGCCCTGCTTACTAGGCTGACCTTTTTTTTTTTTTTTTATTTGAGAGAAAGAATGAGAGAGAGAGAGAGAGAGAGCATGAGAGGGGGTTGGGTCAGAGGGAGAAGCAGACTCCCTGCCGAGCAGGGAGCCCGATGCACGACTCGATCCCAGGACTCCAGGATCATGACCTGAGCCGAAGGCAGTCGCTTAACCAACTGAGCCACCCAGGCACCCTAGGCTGACCCTTGACTGGCATCTGGGAACTTGGACTTTCAGGGGGTCCTACTATTCCCAGCACTGATAAAAAGAGCTTATTGTGCCTAAGCTGTTTGTACAAACAATATGGTTTATGCTGAATACCTATTTTCCTTCTGGAGTCTGGAATTTTGATACATGATAGAGAGAAGGTGCCTATGTGACCAGCTTCCAACAAAAACCTTGGGTGCTGAGCCTCTAATGTGCTTCCCTGGTATACAACATTTCATAATTGTCACAATTGAATGCTAGAAGAATTTTGCACACCTTTTGAAGATTCCACTGAGAAAAGGCTCTTGCAAGCTTGTACATCGTTTCCTATAGAAATTTGCCCATGTGCCTTTTCCCTTTGCCAGTTTAGTTCTGTCTCCTTCCACAGTCACAAATCATAGCCATAAAGACAACTATAAGCCAAGTACTCTGAATTCTCCTAGTGAATTACCAAACTTAGGGACAGCCTTGAGGATCCAAACCAGTCTCCCTACTCCTCAACTTTATAAACTATTCACCAGTTTCCATACTGGAGCAGTATTACAGACAACAAATGAACCAAATTAGTAGTACCAAAGTCCAATTATAAAAAGTTCCTGGGGCACCTGGGTGGCTCTCTTGGTTAAGCGTCTGCCTTCGGCTCAGGTCATGATCCCAGGGTCCTGGCCCAGGATCCCAGGAGCCTGCTTCTCCCTCCCCCTCCGCCTGCTTGTGCTCTCTTTCTCTCTTTGTCAAATAAATACAATCTTCAAAAAAAATAAAATAAAATAAAAAATAAATTAAAAAGTTCCTGGTTTCTTAGCTAATGATAACTGTAGATTTACATACTACTTGAATTTTTTTATTCCAAATCTCACCATCTAGAAATCTCTCCATTCCTTGTTTCCTCACCATTATTTAATAGACCTTTTTCCTGATTAAGCTCCAGCCCGGCTCTTCCCTGAATTCCATCTCAATTCCACATGGAGCTCTGCCTGGCATGGCAGGGGGTCTAACCCACGTGTCATTTAGTTCCCCGACCAAAGAACAAGATCACTTACCAACCCCCCCCCCAGGTCCTATGTTCTGTTTATTATTCTGAGTAAGATCAAACGACATCAATGCCAAGAAGATCTCGTATCAGTTCATTAGAATATGCAGAAACATGAGCTAATTGAGGGCAGTAAGAGCAAGGAGGACAAACGAAAGAATGGCCCACAGCAGAAACTGAAACACAACTTTGCCAATACCAGACTTGGAAGAAACAGCTTGACTGAATTTCTCATCATCTAAAACAGAATTCCTTGGCATACTTTAAAAAAGCACAATAAACTGTATTTAATAGGAAGAAACGCTTGTTGCCATCATGTTGAAGGAGCTGGGGTTCAGAGAACCAGAGAAGGATGGATGTCTGAGTCACATTATGATTAACTGAGAGTTTTAATAAAGCATTAATGGCACTTAATTGCCATGAAGACACTAGGAATCATAGTGACTAGATAAATCAATAGCCTACCCACTGTTTTTCTTTTAAAAACAGAACTATGAACAACTAAAATAAGTATCTCTAGGCTATTTATCCTAACCCCTGAGTGCCCCCCATGGTTTTTCTAATCCACATCAAGTCTTACATTTTTAACAAAATAACTATATTTCAAATACCTATTGATTCTTATGAGTTACCCACATCACAGCTCTTTTTGAATCAGAGCTTCTAGGGCTGGGGAGATGGAAACTGTAATGTTCGTCCATGGAAAACAGAGAACGGAGCATACTAACTCAAACAGGGAGGAAACATGACAATGGGGTGCTCCTGGGCTTACCTAGAACCAGACAGAGTGTTGTCAGGCAGGAACTCAGCCCAGTATGGTCAGACTTTTATTTTTACAAAAATTTAGATTCTTATCTTAAAATTCCTAACTTTTTACTATGGACAACGATTTATTTTTAACTGTGAGAGGCAAACAAATCTGCAACCACGTTTCAAGCTGGAAGTCCTAAATAAGTTAGTGAATGTCTGTCCCTAAGAGAAAGAATCCAGGAGGGATCATTGCCGGAGTGGGAGTGAAAACAGGATGAGGCTCACTGGGCCGATGAGCAGCCAGAAAGGAGGTGGACCCTGATGCTAAGTGTCAGAAGCTGGGAATTTCTGTGTTGTGACAACCTCCTCCTTCTGTCCCCTGTGGTTCTCATAGTGACTGAGGCTGCTCCCAGGCAAGACAGTGGGCCAGGTTCTAAAATAAAAAGGGGTCCCACTGTTCTCTTTATTCCACTTAATCTAAAACAAGTAGGGCACTTTAAACCTTGTATTTACCATCTTCAAAGTGACCCAACAATTGCAACATGTTTCAATTGTATCAGTCCATATTTCTAAGTAGATAATACAGGTTTCTGAGGCTTTTTTTGGTTAAGAAACTACGTTTTACCACTTTCATGGTTATATTTCTATTCTTTTCTTAGACTTACTACATTTAATTCAAATATAATAATTACCATACAGCAAAAATGTATTGTTTTCCCTTAAAATCTATTTTAGATTTTAAAATAATTCATATTTCTGGTCTTACCTAAAACCCTTTTGGAACTCTGAATTTTTCAGATTTAATAAATTAAATATAGCACATATACCATATATATATATATATATATATATATATACACACATACACTCCCAGCAGGGACCAGGACAGCCCCACATAAACACATTAATATTTCTGCACACACACACATGCCCCCTGTAAAAAAAAGTCACAGTAACTAGGATAAATTAAGACCAAAAACAGCTTCATCTCAGCCCAAGTTTTACAACTAAGAGTTTTTCCAGTTTGGGTCTTCAGCATTTCAGGGATTTAGGAAGGTGGATAAAGGACTTTAGTCCTAGATTACATGAACCTGCAGAATTCTGTAAGTCAAAGTGACAAGCCACAACAGAAATTAACAGAGTTAAGGACAACCAGAAAGAATCAATGATGCCATTCTCTCTGAATTGGGGGGGAACAAAAACACAGAGAAATCAGTGGGAGTAAAAAAAACAAAAACAAGACAACCAACCAAAAAAAGTAAATCAATTTCTGAGGAAGGCACTCTAGGTAAAAAAGCAGAATTAAATAAAACCAAACAATAAGATCACCAAAAATCCCACTGTAACCAACTAGACAATAGCATGTGGTCAACAAGGGGCAACACACTCTCCAGTCATTCCCTGGAATCTGAGAATATTTCTAGTAGGGAGGAGCATGGCTGGACCTGCAGGACGAGACGCTGCATTCCCAAGATGTCAGGAGGAAACGAGGTTGGCCAGAGGCAACTCTACATTCACACGTCTCATCCAGTGGAAAAACCAGAGGCTAAAACCACTGAAAAGCCAGAAGCTGGCTGACAACATTCCCTCACTATGCCACATGCTCACTGACGAGGTTGTTAGAAGCCACTACTCCCTGCCCCCCATAAAAGGCACTCTGCAGTAGCTGCTTATCACAAGAAACGTTGAACAGTTCTGCTTTAGGTCAACATCAGTAATGTGCTGGATCCACCAAATCACTAACCAGTTTTAAATAACTTCCACATAATGATGAAGAACTATCCACATAAAGCAATGGACACAAAGTGTATATGAACAGATTAATTCAGTAGGCTGATATAAAATGTATACTCATATATACTACACCATAATCAAGAGACTTGTGAATAATTTCTCAAAATATTCTAAGCCTTATTGCTCAGATCCAAATGATAACAAATTATTACCTTAACTTCATCTGCCTCAGGTTTATTCCATAAGATCTAGGGGGGGCTGCAGAGGGGGAACAATATTATAAAATATTATCAACATAGAAAGCGGCAAATTTTTATTGTCTCCTACCTCTGCTCGACCCTCATAGTAGGTTAACACGGACTTTGTTAGCACAAAAAGTCTCTCTTTGTAGTTTAACGGTGATGTCTTCTTTTTCTGCTGTGACCTTTTAATAAGAATCTCTTCTAGAATAGTGTTAAAATTCATCTCGGTCTTCTGATCACTCTGTCTCCTGCCATTGAAGATCCTAGTATTCTAAAGTGAGAAAAAAAACAGTTGAAATAAAATGTGACATCTTAATTTTCCAAAGATGTTCTCATTCCAAATTACCAAAATAGAGTTTACCCTCTCCACAGCTGGAGCTAGTGAGTATTAGTCTATGCACCTGGACTGAAACTGCCCAGGGCACAAGAGCTCAACCTCTCTGCATCCCCAGGCTCATCCTGTTCCTCCAGGACCCAGCATTTCACAAGAAAATCTAATCAAGGTTTGCCATGATGATGAGTCACTCCTTTGTACCTCCCCCAGCATCCCTTAGGTTTATGGCACATTGTTCTGCTATCTAATTGCAGGGAAACAAATATCTCAGATGAAAAAGCACATTTCATCACCTGCAAATTAAATTGCCTTGGGAGCCTGGTAACACAAAATGGATGAGCACATGGACCCGGTGGACTTGTGAACAAAATGAATTACCATAGTGGTGGGTATGAGTCAATCTCCAGCTCTGATAAGGATGTAATCTTGATCAACCATCCTAGTTACCGCAGCCATGAGGATATTCTCCAATGTCTACACCATGCTCCATAGTTCTCTTTCCTATGGTTCCTGTCTCAACCACAAGAGAAAAGGAAATCCACCTGGTCACAACTAACCTACTCAGGGAAGAACCCATCTGGACAAGGTCCTCAGCCCTGTATTTGGATCCCCCACACCTGGACTAAGCCTTCCAAAATTCAACAAAATTTAACTATCTGAAAACCCAAAACTACTCAGGAAATACATTATGATTCTTTATTTGATAGAAATTGAATTGACAACAGCCTTTTCTTCCCTTCCCTTCACCACACATTTACAGTCATTGTACATCAAATCATAGAGGTAATGGAAGTCACGTGAAGAACGTTAAGAGGTTACCTGAAAGCAGAGCCAGAACCTTGACACTGAATTAGCCACTAGGAATTCTACCATTTTCATACCCAACCTGATGCCTTGGAAGAACCTCTGCAACTCCCTATTACTGATCTGTCATATCCAGTCAGGAGCCCCATTTCTGTAAGGTTACTTTACAACAGTTTAACCTCTGTATGTAAGTTCCTTCATTTACAAAATATGGAGATAAATACCCCCAAGGTTATTGTGAGGTTTAATGAGATGTGGGAAAGAACTTGCTTATTATGAAAACTCTTTACAAATGTTTACTATCATTATTTTTTTTTAATTTCACTGCCTTTTTCCTAGCTCAAAGCCTTATAATCTGGACCACCGTAGCAGCTCTCCAACTGGTCTTTCTTTCCCCAGGCTCTCGCCTCATTTTGTTCAAACAACATACCCCTCATTCCCACTGAATCAATCTTCAAAGACACCACCTTGCATCACACCATTTCATTCACCAGAAATCCTCAAAGCCTCCTCAAAAGCCTTCCTACCACCTGCAGGATAAAGTCAAAATTCCCATATTAACACCAGACAATCACAATCTGGCTAAAACCTATCATCCGATCTTTCCTTCCACTGCTCTTCAAATAGTCCATACCCAGTCAAAATAGTTGGTATGAAAAGTCCACCAGCTCAAAACTTACTTCCTTGATGAAGCCTTTCCTGATGATTCCAATTAATTATATGCCTTCCAATTCATGCACCCATGATCTCTGTATCACTCATCATAGAGCTCATCATAGTCTCCCATGTTCTACAGCAATTAATGTACAGTTTTTAACTTTCACCTAGATTTAAAGCTCCTAAAGAAAAGTTCTCAACCTTAAGTGCACATTAAAATCACCTAGGGAGGGGTGCCTGGGTGGCACAGTCAGTTGAGCATCTGACTCTGGGATTTGGCTCAGGTCATGATCTCAGGGTCGTGAGATCGAGCCCTGCAACCAGCTCCATGCTCAGCACGATGTCTGCTTAAGACTCTCTCCCTAGGAGCTTCTGGGTGGCTCAGTTGGCTAAGCGTCTGCCTTCGGCTCAGGTCATGATCCCAGGGTCCTGGGATGGAGCCCCACATCAGGCTCCCTGCTTAGCAGGGGAGTCTGCTTCTCCCTCTCCCTCTCCCTCTGCCCCTGCTTGAGTGCTCGCTCTCTCTCAAATAAATAAATAAAATCTTTTTTTAAAAATTAGAAAAAAAAGACTCTCTCTCCCTTAATACAAATCAAAATCACAATGAGATGCCACCTCACACCAGTCAGAATGGCTAAAATTAACAAGTCAGGAAACGACATGTTGGCAAGGATGCAGAGAAAGGGGAACCCTCTTACACTGTTGGTGGGAATGCAAGCTGGGGCAGCCACTCTGGAAAACCGTATGGAGGTTCCTCAAAAAGCTGAAAATAGTGCTATCCTATGATCCAGCAATTGCACTACTGGGTATTTACCCCAAAGATACAAACATAGTGATCCGAAGGGGTACCTGCACCACAATGTTTAGAGCAGCAATGTCCACAATAGCCAAACTATGGAAAGAGCCCAAATGTCCATCAACAGATGAATGGACAAAGAAGATGCGGTATATATATACAATGGAATACCACTCAGCGATCAAAAAAATGAAATCTTGCCATTTGCAACAACATGGCTGGAACTAGAGGGTATTATGCTAAGCAAAATAAGTCAATCAGAGAAAGACAATTATCATATGATCTCACTCATATATGGAATTTAAGAAACAAAACAGAGGATCATAGGGGAAGACAGGAAAAAATAAAACAAGATAAAATCATAGAGGGAGATAAACCATAAGAGACTCTTAACCATAGGAAACAAACTGAGGGTTACTGGAGGGGAGCAGGGTGGGGGAATGGGGTAACTGGGTGATGGACATAAAGGAGGGGGCACATGATGTAATGAGCACTGGGTACTATATAAGACTGATGAATCACTGAACTCTACCTCTGAAACTAATATTATATGTTAATTAATTGAATTTAAATTAAAAATAAATAAATAGATTAAAGGAACAGACTAGAGTCCAAAAATAGACCCACACATATATATGGACAAAAGAGTATATGCCATATGATTCCATTTATATAAAGTCTAAGAACAGGCAAAAACTAACCTGTGGTAATAGAAATTAGAAGAATGGTTGCCTATGCGGGGGTGGGGAGAGGGGTAGAGGCGGACTGGGCAGAAGCATGAGGGAATTTTCTACGTCTCAACTGGGGCAGAGATTACTTGAATGTGTATAAATGTATTAAAACTCCTTGAATTAGAAAAAAAAAAAGACTCTCTCTCCCTTTTCCTCTGCCCCTCCCCTGCTCGTGTGTATGCACCCCCTCTCCTTCAAATGAACAAATCATGAATTAATTAATTAATTTTAAAAATCATCTAGGGGGATGTTTTGGAATGTCCAGGCAGATATTTTTATTCAGTTGGTCTGGGGTGGGGCCCAGGGCATCATGACTTAATGTGCAGGTAGATTTGAGAGCCGCCATCTTAAAGGAAGAGGTTGGACTCTCGGAGTAACCACAGCACTCTTGGTATTCGTGGCAGCCTCTCAGTAAGCAACTGGAGAACGGACCTAATGAAGCCATCAGTTTTTCTAGGTTAAGTAGTCAGGGGAAAGCTCTTGTTCCTTTTGCATCTCAGTTGGTCCTGATTATTCTAAATTAAAATTTTAGTACTCTTGTTTTTTTCCTTCTGAAAAACTGGTTGACATGTAAATAGCTTCAGAAATCATCTTTTCATCTTTGTGCAACACATTTTCAATGCAGGGTGAAAACGACAACTTAAAGAATGGATTGTAAGGGAAAAAGCAAGCTGGGCCCTGGAAAACAGACCATATGCAAATGTGTAGTTCCCAGGCCAGTGAGTAACACCATAGTTTCCAAAACAGAAGGCAGATTTTTGGAAGGTGGAAATGAGGTGTGGCTCAGCTGCAGTTTTAGAAGCAAAAGGTCTCAACATCCAGGGGCAGGAGAAAATACATCATGTTAAATGCATTGAAAAAAATATCCCCTTATCTGATTTTAGGAGATTTTAAATAGTCTTACCAAGAGCATACCAGGTGAGTTGAAATAAGTGTAAGACATCATCTATTTCACTCATTTTACAAATTAAGAAGCTGGGGTTTAGAAAAGTTTAGCGACTTGCCCAAAGTCACCCAAGCCAAGACTAAAAGAAAAGTCTCCTGGTTCCAAGTGAAGGGCTCGCTCCTCCATTCCATACTATACAATTAAAACCTCACTGTTGTTTTAATAATTCATAGCTTAATGGGAAATCCTGGCCAAAGAAAACTATTAAGGTGCACAGAGATAAAATCGAAGGAAAATTCTCCTCATGTAGACTTCCAGCTGAAAATAAGAGTGCTGTGTGTACACAGTTGCATTAGCTCCCTCCTGAAATCCCATTAAATCATCCTTTGTTTTTGCTGTTATCATCATTAAGGAATTAACTCTCATGGAAATAAAAAACAGGACAGGAGATATCAACAAAATATCAAAACAAAAAGCAAATAAACATGTGGTAGTTCCAGCTGGGAGGAAGCCTGGAAACAACCCAACTTACACTGCAAAGCCTCCAAATAACTCAAAAATCAGGAGAACTTGGTATGTCTATAAATGGTGGTGAAGAAGACTTAAAACAAAAGGATTGTTTGCAGGTCTGTATAAGAAACAGGGTTCCTCACCCCCTCTCCCATACCATATAGCCAAGTCACTAATCCTCCCCAGTCCTAGGAGAAAACTGGAGGTTTATAAAACTGAAGGTCTCTATACTGGGAGGAACTACAAACAGTTGAGGCTAGGGGTACCATCCTGCAAAGGAGGACTTATGTGAACCTATACAAGCATATATACTCAATGTTGAGACCACTCAGCTCTCTTCTCCCACTTGACTCCATAATACTGGATACGGACCAGACTAAAGAGTAAAGACCTACAGATAACAGACCCAGGAGAGCTCCCATGGCCCAGAAATGGCCCAGAAATGGCCCAGCCAGATTACCTATAGGAAAGCCCATAGTCAGCAAGTTCTACCCATAGCACAAAGCTTCCAATGGACTTTTAGAGTCCAATTCATGAATGAGAGAAA